ACGAGTATTTGTGGCTTATTATAGTCTTCGCCGAAAAATATCATTAATATTTAATACTGAGAAAAAAGAAAGATTTTATCCATAACAGCAAGATCAAATCAGTTGGATAGAAGTCTTAGATAGCTAATACGAAGATCGGGAGGGTTAGAAAACTTTCGAGAAAAGATGACCGAGTCAACTGAGAGAGAACCTAGAGATAGAGAGAGAGAGTATAAGAGAGAGGGGGCGATAGATAGAGAGCCAGAGATGGAGCTTTCCAAACTGAAACCATATTTCTAACCAGAAAGTGCAATGATGTATCAACATGTTGATGTCAATACGTTTCTAAAAAATAACCGGAGTTATTTTGGAGCATAAGCAAAGCTGTGCCTAACGTGTAATATATTTTGATAATCAGAAAGTGAGATTAAATATTAGTTAGAGCATTTTAATTGGCCTCTGGAGGGTCAGAACAAATATTTTCGCGCAACGTGTTTCTGTGAGTGGCGCAAGCCTAAAATGCAGCGTTCGTTAGAGCAAAGGTACACAATTAAATTCTCTGTGAAACTCGGTAAATCTGCGTGCGACAAGACGTTTGATATCATCAAGCAGGCTTACCCAAATGTTGTGTTGCAGTCAGCCTCGAAATCCAATGCAGAATAAGTTTTTGCCAACAGTTGCTACTTCGAACTGAGTAGGCAATTGCGAAATGAAGTCCTCTCTTGACGAGCAAAGACCAATGCTATAATTCACTCACCCGGCTATATGAAGCAGAATTATAAACTCGGCTATTACCGCGTAAGCGGTGCCTACATCAATAAAGAAAATGCAAGGGTTTGGTATATGCTGATAAGACACTCGTTGCGATAGAACCTCACCTAACTCAATACCAAAGATTCGGCTACCAATTTCAACTCATTTTAACTCCTTTTAACTCATTCAACCCGCTTTGACTTTCCATTAAATGCATTTAAAATACTTCGTTCTTATTTTAACGCTCACCACTGTACATATGCTAAAGATAACGCAACAAATACTGCAAAATTTGAATATGAAAATTTTTGCTTTTAAGTATTGGAAAATTGTATTTGTTTTCGTTGTTTTTTCAACTTTTCAAGTATTTGACTGCCGTTCAAACAATGTCTATGCAAATACAAATTAATTTGTTTACGAACCCATTGACGTCGACATTTGGTTTTTGCAACCTAAATGATATGCAACCGCAGACTGAGTAAAATGTGAAAATGTGGAATGTGCAAATAAAAATAAAAATAATATTATAAAATTCATGCAATCCGCCATCGCAGCGCACATGCTGCGGAAGCGGTTAAAATTTATTGCAATATAACGGTATTTTCAGCTTCAATTGAAGGCTTACCGGCGCACGAGATTTCATTTTATTTCTTGCGCGCACACACTTGTATGCAATGAACTTATGCAGTTAATAGTTTCAGCTTTTATGAGTTTTTAAATTAATTTCGATTTCACTGATTCGCTGGTGTGCGCCTCCCTCGCGCCCCGTTTATGTGGAACGCTGCGTCCTCCTACCATTACATGGGATGCGCACTGAAATTCAGTTACATGCTTGAACAACGCAGTGACGATGTTAAGACGTACCGTGGGTTGTTTATGAAAAATACTTTTTTGATCATTTTTACTTCGCCGAACTGGTTTATTTAAGCTAAGTGTTCCTTTGGTCTAATTTACTGAGACTGCATGAGGTATTAAAGCCCGAGCAAGGGTTAAGGGCCATTCATTCTCCTTTATAAAATACAATTGTTTCGGAAAAGTGGTGAAAGTTGATTTCGAAGGTTTTCGAAACTGTGTAGATTTGGTCGGCCGATCTGTACAATTTGTTTCATGAGAAAAGAATAGGTGCAAAATTTGAGATCGACATCTTAAAACTAACTAGTTCAGATATACCCTATCACCATTAGGACAGATGGATGCTCGGAGAGACAAACGAATATGGCTAACTTAACTTCTCATACTGATCATTTATATACTATATAAGGTATACTTTGTAAGGACTTAGGCGTTTTTGAGTAGTATAAACTTCGTGGTAAACTTAACATACCCTGTTCTAGTAGTGCCACCAAATATAGGACATGTTACCGCTAACTTTATTATCGTCAACCGAATTTTCCTTGCTAGCACGTACAGTGTAGTTTCAGAAGGAGATGCCCAACTGCCTGTGACTAAATGGCGAAATGTAGTCAAATATTTATTGTTTTCTCTCAATATCATACCACCTCTCAATCTACCTCGTCCTACCACCTAGCAAGATTTAGAGATATGACTAACCTTCCCCAAGACAAATTCCGAATTCTTGTCGCCCTCTATACTGGGGACTGTCAGCTCAAGAAACACTTGTCTAAAGTGGGCATAGCCTCTTGTGCAAATTGCCTGTTTTGCGACAAGGAGCCCGAAACTCCAGAACACCTGATTCTCAAGTCTGAATCCATCTATGTGGACAATACATCTTCATCACGTACAACAAGCTCCTAGAATTGTTCATTACAATAGATGCTTGGTTGCAGGACAAAATCTCAGTTGATTTCTATCTCTATTTAATTTCTAAGTCTTTTATTATATATTTTTTTCTTTTGCACCGCCAAAAAAGTAGGCTTTGCTAAGAGTCGCTAAGTGTTCAAACTTCAGTTGATGATAGAACCTCCAGTTCTATTAATGATTCGGATCCACAAATAATATAAGCCGATCATAAAATTAATCATTATTCTTATTAACTTTGTAGAATTTTGGCTAAAAACGTTAAAGCGCAATTGACGCTAAATCCACTGACTTTAGATAGTTCTTATTTGTACGGGCAAAAAAGTTTCGAATAAAGATCGGTTGTCTGCCCGGCTGAGACTTTCATCCCTAAACGTAGTGTAGAAGTTGACACATGTAAAGAAAGTTCTCTGAGCGCCATTCACTTGGGAGGGGTCAGAAACGATTCTTTTACATATGACTCAAGCGGTTCTCGACTTCCGGTTTTAGACAAAGGGTAGCCAAAAAAACATCCGTTTGTGATGGACGGATCAAAGATTGAGACGAGTAGGTCAATGTGGCACTACTACAGTGGCAATATAAATGAGCCGTTGCCGAGTCCTGGCGTTCACACCGGTATATGAACGACTTGCCACAATCCGCATCAAAGCGAAGTTCTTTAATATATCACTGATTTACGCCCTTGCCCCGACGGAAGAGAAGGATAAATGAAATATTTATATTTAATAAAAATTTATAAATTACTAATTTTTTAATTGTAGATTTTTAATTTTATAAAAAATATTAAAATTTTCCATTTTCACATAAAAATACTTTCTGTTCAAACTTTCACATAAATGACACACTGTGCCACTACTCAGGCGATCGCGGCAAAACCGCTCACAAACACACACGCAAACGTTGGTGTGGCACATGCGCTTACACAAACGCGTTCCACAAACACACACACTCGCACATGCGTTAGCCAAAGCCGACAGCAGCACAGCGCCAAGTTACGTCTGCATGCTTGCTTAACTAAGCCGTTTACTCGAGTGTGTGCTTGTTTGTAGCGACTTGCAAGTGTATGTGCTGTTTTTGTTTTTGACGTTACGTAGCATAAATTGGCTGTCATATTCACATTCATATTCGTCGTTGTGGGGGCAGGTTTGCGAATTACTTGAAAATATGTGTGTGTGTGATTGTGTATAGTTTGTTAGGTATATTGTGTGGATGAATGTCGTTTTGTTTGTATGAATATATTTTTGTTTGTATGAATGTGTATTGTGTACGTTTGTGCTGTTGTATATATGTATGGGCTGTTGTATGTTCGTGTAGTTGTGCGTATATTTAGCGCTCTGAGCAAAGCAAATTTTATAAATAAGCGCTGAAAACAAATAAAAAATACACTTGAACGCTACATAATTGTATTTTTGCGGGCATTTTTTTCCTTTTTTTGTTGTTATATTAATTTTTCAAATTTTTTAAATTAAAAATTGTGGTTGCTGACACCTTAAGTCGCTTTTTAGAACTCAGCGTTTTTTGCTGCTCAGAATATTTGCTGTGCTTAAGCTTTGTTTTTGCACTTGTTGTTGTTTTTCGTTTTGCTATTTTTGTTTTTTTTTGTTTAAACATTTTTTATTGTTGTTTTTATTAATATTTTACTTTTTTGTTGTTGTTATTTTTGTTAGCGTTGTTTTTGCATTTGTTGTTGTAGCTTTTTTGTATTCTTTTCGCTTGGTTTTTTTGTTGTTGCTATAAATACTTTATTTTTGTTGTTGTTATTTTTGTTTTTGAATTTGTTGTTGTATTGTTTCGTTTTTGAATTTTTTTTTTGCTTTGATATTTTTATTGTCGTTTCAATAATTTTTTAAATTCTTAGTTTTCTATTTTTTTTGTTGTTGTTGATTTGCGTTGGTATTTTTGTTATTATTGTTTTTTCTAAATAATTATATATTATTAATTTTTTTTGTTATTGCAATGTATTTTTTGTTAGTGTTGTTTTTCGTTTGTTGTAGTTGTCTTTGCATTTGTGCAACTTTTCTTTTTGATATTTTTTGATTTTTCTTTGGTATTTTTTATTGTTGTTTTTATAATTTTTTGTTATTGCGTTGGTATTTTTGTTATTGGCCTTTTTTGTAATTCTTGTATTATTTGTTATTGTTGTTTTATATTTTTTTATTTGTTATCGTTATTTTTGTATTTTTTGTTTGTATTGTTTTTGTAAGTTATGTGTTTGTTGTTTTTGTTTCTTTGTATTCGTTTTGCTTCACTAAAATTATTGAACTTTTGCCAGGGGGTCTTTAGCACATTCACACACACACTCACTCTCGCACTCACTTAATTGCCGCGTAAGCCGAAACTGTAGCGAAATGCAATTCTGCGCTTTCAGACACACTGATTCACTTGAATGGCTTGCATTTTCTTGTGTTTTCGTTTCATGCAATTTTTTAATATTTTTTTTTTAAATTAAATAATATAATTTTTTAATATAACCCTCACAATACTTAAAGCTCGTGGCATATTTTCCTTACTTTTTCTCCGCTTTTTATATATTATTATTTTTATTATTTCATTTTTTGTAATTCTCTTCTTTCTTCTGCTTTGTCACAACACCAATGCGGCACACAACAACTTTTTTACTGTACCTGCCGAAGAGGCGAAAGCACAACTAAGCCAATAGCGCCGCACTAAATGTCAATACGTCCGTCGGCGGCAGTGTCGACAACGCTAGACAACAGCCAAAACGCAATCTAGACAAACAACAATGACACTAGGAAAAGACAAAAGCGCAGATATGCAACGATATTTTAGTATTTGCTTCTTTTGTAAATATTGTATAAGTTTGCAAATTGACTTAGACGACCAGAAAAGTGTTCAACGATTACAAAAACATCGTATATATGTTTGTCACACGCTTTCACGTTATTAATGCAGTTCTTTATTCTGCTTTCTTGACGTTTGTTCCATCGTTCAACTGCCTTTATGGGCATACATTGCTTTCCGCAAGTCTCAATATGCTTTTCTTTTGCCCACTCGCTGTGCGCTTTGTCTATCTGTCTGCTTGCGGTTAATTTTTTTCAGCTAGACTCACTTACTACTAGCTGACTGACGCACTTGCTCACTTGGCTGTTTAATCAAGAGCGCACTAACGCACTTTCAGGTGGACTCACTCACTTGTGGGCGCGCTCACTCACTTTTATACGCTCTCACCCCCTTTCGGGCGCACTCATTCACCGAAGCACTCGCGCAGTTACAGATGCCTTCACTGACTGTCTCACAAACCCACTCACAGTTGCACTCCCACAGCCGCGTTCACTCACTCTCTCATTTATTCACTTAGTGCCGCTGCGTCGCGCTAATCAATGGGCTAGTCGGCTTAATCACTTTTTATCACTGAAATTTTTATAGAGTAACAATAGTTTTTTGTTTTTAAGGAAACCACTTGTTTGCGGTGTATTTTGATTATTTAATCGCTTAAAAACAATGTGACAAAGAGTAAGTGAAATAATTTAAATAAATCCCAGAAAAAAAGTGAACCTCGGATGCATCGTAGCTGGAATACCCGACATACATAAAAAATTTTCCACATAAGAACTTGATTTTGACCAGTCCGTTTGTATGGGAGCTAAATGCTATAGTAAAGGATGATCCAAGGAAGAAGGTATTTGGCGCGCTTCGCTCTTCGTACTCTTCGCAACACCAGCATCCATCTTGAGACTCAGTATTCATTATTCGATCGTATTCGATCTGCCGTTCGCAGCAACTCGGACTGACGTATGGAGCGACTAGGTACATCTTAAGTCGAGATCTTTAATTGAAAGCGTACAAAATTCAGCTTGTGCAAAAATTGAATCCACTCGACCTTCCCAAGCGATATCGCTTCGCTCTGTGGGTTCTTGCATAGTCCCATGAAGATCCCACGTTTTCCATTAAAATTTTGTTCAGCGATGTGGCAAATTTCTAGCTCAATGGGCATGTAAACAAGCAAAATATCCGCTTTTGAGACGAAGAGCAACCTAAAGAGATTCGAGAGCTGCAATTTCATCCAGAAAAAAACGGCTTGGTGTGATTTGTAGGCCGGTGGAACCATCAGTCTAAACAATCTAAAAAAAATGATGCCGGTGTGAGCGTAACGAACAATGAGGACGGTTATCGCATCATGATAACCGACTATTTGATGCCTGAAATTGAAGCCCGTGATCTCAGCGACATTTGGTTTCAACAAGAAGGCGCCACTTCCCACACATTTCAACAGTCAATGGATTTTTTGAGAGAACACTGCGGTAAGCAGATAATTTCGCGTTTTGGGCCGGTCGATTGCCCCCCAGGATCGTGTTATATCACACCGTTAGAGTTTCTCTTATGGGAATATGTGACTTCAAAATTTTATGCGGACAAACCCGCTTCGATTCAGGCATTGAAGCAAACCATTATGCGTATCATTCGCAAGTTACCAGTCGAAATACTCGAACGCGTCATCCAAAACTGGACTCAACAAATGGAGCTTCTGAGCCGCAGTCACGGCTAACATTTGAAAGAGATGATCTTCAACAAATAATTGCCAAAGAGTGATCTTTGGAATGATAATAAGCATTCCCAAATAAATTTGAAATTTCTGTATTTTTTCTTTAAAAAAGTAGGGAAATTCCATTGGATCACTTTTTAAATGTTACAATAAGCGGATAACGGCAGTTCCAACAAATGGGAAGCTACTTGAGAAAGAAACGGAGGTGTGCAAAGTTTCAGATCGATTCCTCAAAAACTGAATGACTAGTTCGCTTATAGTATATATTGATAGAAGGACTGACGGGCAGACTGATATGGCTAAGACCGCTCAGCTCGTCAAGCTGATCTTATATTTTTATATTAGATATACTGTATATTTATATTTTATAAGATATTCGACATTTTCTTCTGGGTGTTATTTCCTGACAAACAATGTACTCTGTCGAGGGTATAGTAAACAACAAAAAACGTACGTAAGAGCGCACAAGCGTGGAGAAGAGTGCGCAGCCACTTGATTTTGAGCAAAATTTCAACGTTGATAAGTAAAATTGTTTTTCACTGCACAACAACAACAACAGCAATAGTGATAACAAGAACAATAGCAATAATAATAACAACAATACCAAACATGCCACAGAACAAAACACGATAATGGCAGCCAAAGACGATTAATAAACGTCGAGACAAAAGAGAGTTTGAGCTTAAACGCCTGCGTTTGTGTGTGTGAGCGTTAGAACAACGGTGCGAAAAGACGACAGCGTAAAATAAACAAGTATAAAATATAATAATATCAGTTCAGGCAAAAACCCTAAACCAAAAACAACAATAAAATCACCAACCGTGCTGTTGATGACCAGCCACAGAGCCCGACGAACGAAACGAAAACGCCAAACGAGTCAATGCGATGCGAGCGCGGCGTATGACAACGAAAATAACAACAGTGAATAACACGACGATCGGAACGTAGCGTGTGATTAGCGTTTATTAATGCTCGCTCAATGACCAACTAAAAGCGGCAAGAGCCGAGAAATCACCAATGCTGCTGACTGGCGGCACGCTGAGCGGACAACGCAGCGACAGCGGCCATCGTGTATTGCGTTTACGATGTTGTCGTCGTTGGGGAAAAAGCAAGCAATGCAACAAACACGAAAATAGCAATATTAATAAGCGCCACCGCACAGCCCACCATTTGCCGCTGGCACACACACACACACAGCGTAGCGCAGAGTGACAACAACAGCCAGAGCAAGAGCAACAGCTGCAGCGGCAATTTATTTGAGCATCTATGGCCCAGTTGTTGATCAATAGTTTGTTGTATTGATGTGGCGGCGTGGCGTTTTTATCGCCGCATTTGCATGTGTGGATCGCCGCAGTCCACTTAAGTACATATGTATTTGTGTTGTTCCGCACGCGAAACATCTAGAATGTGCTTTGCGTTGAGTGGAGCGCTAGTAGCTTGCGTTAGAGTGTGATGACGATTGCTGGTTGGCATACAGTGACCCCCAACTGCACGCCTACATGCAAAGAAAGAATGCGGCTGATGTGTATGTGTGTGAGCTTATTGCGTACTTAGCATCCACTTGTTGCATACTTTTCGGCGTGGCTGATGTTCATATCCGCTTGAGGTTGGCGGTCGATCTGGCGCTGTTGAGTTTTCGATTTAATTGAAGGGGTTTATAGCCACTGGGGAATTCCAAGTTGCCAATGTGCCGACTGTTTGTTTGAAGACAGAAAGTATTTCGTCTTGCCCTCGTTCACTACCAGACGCATTCCCTTCCTTATCGATTTTTAAGAAAGCAGAACTAACGGCGCGGATGTTGAGGCGTATAATATCAATATCATCGGCCCACACCAGCAGCAGTACACTCTTATAGAAAATGGTACCTTCTCTATTTAGTTCTGCAGCTCGAATTATTTTCTCCACGTTACAGGTTTACTTTCGCTCGCCTTCAAACGGATGTTCTTAGGCTACAAAAAGGATATTTGGTCTAAGACGGGAAGCCGTGAACGGCTTGAGCCATATATAAAATAATCGTTTCTGGTCACTCCCAAGTAAATGGCACTAACAGAACTTTCCTCATTTGCGTAAACTTCTGCATATGTCTCCATCCTTCTACCGATCGGGTTACCTAGCAGGAAAAGTTGTATTTAGCGGCGATGGCACTGGACATATCAATGTGTTTAAAATTTAAGCTCTCTTTTTCTTCAGGACTATTAAGGAAATAAATATGGATTTCATTCTTTTGTCGAATCTCCTACAATTTTCATTTTGGATGTGCTACTCCTTATGGGAATGAACTTACACCTTAACTAATGATCGCGTTCGGATACGTGATGAAGGAGTTAAGTTAGGTTAAGAGGTCGATTCTTATAGAGACTTGGACGTCGGTCAGTTTTGGTACCTAAATCTTCTGTATAATTAATCATAAGATCCTCATAAACCAGCGAAGCGCTTTGAGCTTTTCACAAATTTGTTCAGAGCTTTACAAGTAATATCAGTTTTGGCTATGCCTCCTGGTTCGTCGAAGATAAGGCTATCTAGATGTTTCAACCTCAGTCTAGCTTAGACTGGATATTGGAGGAAATATTGCTTTGCTAATTTGTGTCGGACTAGACTTTATCCTTACCGTATGAATGCCTATTGGACAGTATTCAGTGGGAACTCCCACGATTGCGGCAAGATGAACTTTGCTAAACAAAGGCAAGTAGTTCAGTATATCTCACGATTGACAAATGCCAGTTAAGCGCACTTGAGTTCTATTGGCTCGGTGCTAGAACGCAAAATGCAAGTGAAAAATGCATCCAACTCGCTCTCATTTCGAGATGATCGGTTCAAGGCCTCTAGCCTCTTTGGCTAGTTCATCGGCTTTGCAGTAATCAGCAAATTCGCTCTGTCCTGGTACGCAATCGAGTCTGAGGATAAAATAGCTTAAGGGTAGGGGTACAGACTATCAAACGTAGCACAAACAAACTTATGATTTTCATTCATTGAATTGAATTCCACCCACATATAATTTTTAAGAACAATTAGTATTCTCTCAGCTAGTTCCAGCAACTTAAAGTTAAGCAAGATATATGGAATAAAGTATCAGTGAAAATCGGCGACCTTAAGGAAGATCAGAGTTGTGGCAATTAGCGTGATATCGAAGTAATTCCATGATTACTTTTACTTCGCTTCTAGTGTTTCAAACTTTCCACAGGTCCAGCTAGTTTCTTTTACTGTTAGATTTTCTATTAATGCTTACTACACAAATAATACGAAATACAACAACAATTTTAAAACACATTCAATATACAAACTATTTATGATTTTCGACGAGAAGTCTTATCGTTTCGAAAATGTTAGACACACAATGACATTATTTATTCCTCGAAAATATTGATGATGCCAGATGCTTGGCAATGAAATCGCATATTTTCTTATCAACATTCTTAAATACAAAAAAAACATACGTATTAAATATTTAGTTGTTGATAGCAATAATAGTTCCTTTACTATTGATAAAAGAATCAAAGAGCATGTCTATAGCAATAATGATTATTACGTACAAATAGATAAGAGGAGTAAGTAGAGATATGTAAGCCCGCTAGGAAATTGTATAGAAGGTTTGTGGGTTTGTGTCTTGGATAAATGAAAGTCTGAGGTTATGGAAACATTATTTTCAGATTATGTTCGATCAGAGATGCAAACCAATTACCTTCAAATTCATATCTTAGCCAAAAAGGCCCTTATAGTAGTTCTTTTTGAACACAAATCATAATATCAGACAAATTTTAATTATCGAAGAATATAGCGAACTTGTTGATTGTATGTTAAAAATATGGTTGAATGTTGGAAAAGGCCTTCGGAGATAATTGTCATATACAAATTATTTAAAGAGGGTCGAGAACACGTTGACGACGAAACACGTCCAGAATGGTCCGGATTGCTTACAATCAATCGGCCGAATATCGTGCCAAAGGTGAACCGAAGCCGAGAAACTAAGCCAAAGCAGGTGAAAAATCAAGGTTATATTGATAGTTTTCTTCGACTATCGATTGTAGTGCAATCCGACCGGCCAAAGTGTCAACAAGGTGTGTTATTTGAGTGTTATGCGTCATCTAGTTCTTTCAATTTATTCTCTTGCAACTTGCCAGAATCAAAGCCAAATAAATACCTTAAGGTGCTAAATGTCAACAGAGGATCGGATCAACATATATTATACTTACGAAAAAATGTTTGTTAGAAAAACGAAAATCACTATCCACGCGATTTTATCTATTTTTTACAATATTACATACTTTTGATATGCCACTTACTAATACTAATGTTCTCTGAGATTCATTCAAGTATCTCCCATACTATCACCAACCGTATGCAGTAAATCACTCGGGTATTATAAGTTTGTAATAAAGGGGGCTAGGTGAAGATTTCGCCCAATTTTATGCATTTTGGGAACGAAGATCCTCTGTTATCAGTAAAGTGCGCTCTCTCATTTTGATTGAGATAATTCACATGGTGGTCGATATATGCGGTATAAAGTCAACCGAAACTTCAAAAATCTTTATATTAGTTTTATGGGGGATAAGGGGAGTATTGGTACGATTCAACGCATTTTTGACACACATACATATATACCACTATTAAGATAAGTCAATCTCTGAATTTTAATTATATATCTCACATATTTACCCATATATGTGGCAAAAAGCAAGTATGAGTACTGTGTACTGACTTTAACAATTGTTTCGAGAATTGGAAAAATAATGTAGGTATAAATACCTGAATTTGGGGGCCAAGATTTTTCATAGTAATAAGTCTTTCATCGCATAAAAGGTAAGTACCTGAGCTCTCCTGCCATTTACATATTATATATACATATCAGGGTATCATCATTATGACTAATTACTAAAGGTTTTTCTCTGAGAACATGTGGAAAGTCCAGTTTGCAGAGTTTTTGGAGAACTTATTTGCCAAATATTATTTAGCATTCAGCGTAGACTGATGAAATAAACGTTCATATGTAATAAATCGATGTGAATTCAGACTTCATTAATTTTATAACAATTCTGGGTATTATAAATGGCAATACGGTACCATAATTGGTGGTACGCGTGCTTACTTGAACGTATTGTAGTCTATAAAGTCCATAAATCTTAGGCAAATAGTTTGAATGACATACATACATAAATATGTATAATAAAGTGATTCCTACGGGGAGCGGGTGGCTAACAATAAAAAGATACTACGTCGCCAATAACTTTCCACGAATTCTTTCTTTATCTGTCTTTTGAAGGTTGCAGTTTTATTTTTCGACTAAACTATTTACACTGTTTAACATAATTTTGGATGTGAAGTATACAATCTTAAGACGAATAAATCATGTAAATTTTTACAAACTTAATTGTTAAAATTTAGTGGGAAATGTTTATTATCATTCGAAAGAAGATTATTTGGCATTTATTTTTCGAACATTTTTTCTTTCAAATATTGGCCTCGGTTACGTATCAGATGTGCCATCCGTGGAGTCCAATTTTCGATGACTCGTTCGAGCATTTCGATTGCTAACTGGCGAATGACACGCATAATGTTTAGCTCCAAGGCCTGAATCGAAGCGAGATTGTCCGCATAGACTTCAGACCTTACATATCGCCACAGGAAAAATCTAACGGTGTGATATAGTACGATCTTGCTGGCCAATCGACTGGCCCAAAACGTGAAATTTTCAGGTCCAAAAAAGTATTCTCTCAATAAATACATTGATTGATGCGATGTGTGGGAAGTAGACCCGTCTTGTTGAAACTAAATGTTGCCGAGATCCCGAGCGTCAATTTTAGGCATCAAATAGTCGGTTGTCATAGCGCGATAACGATCACCATTGACGGTTCTGCTCTCACCGGCAACATTTTTGCAGAAATATAGACCGATGATTCCACTGGTTTTTGTTTTTTATGGACGAAATTTATGGCCAGATCTTGAATCTCATCAGATTGCTCTTCTTTGCGCAATTTTGCTTGTTTACTTACGCATTGAGCCATAAATGGGCCTCATCTCCGAACAAAATTTGCCTCGAAAACATCGGATCATCTGGGAACTTTTTAAAAGCCCATAGAGTGAAGCGCTGTTGCTTGGGACTATCGCAAGATACCGACAACTAATCTTGAGATCTCCTTCTGTTGCCCATACATATAACGAGTGTTCCAGTAGAGGCAGTATTTTAATATCCTTTTTTTTACAGATCACGCGTGAGTTGGCCAAGCTGTTATGTTACTTTTGTTCAGTATTGGTTGACATTTCAACATCGTCCAGCACGCAGTGAAGAAAATATAACAACCGTAGTAGAAAGAGTACACGAAGACCGTGGTGAGTCAATTCAGCGCCGTTCGCACCAACTCAGACTGACGCATGGAAAGACTTCGCACATTTTCCGTTGAGATCTTAATTTGACTGCTCGACCTTCCCAAGCGACATCGCTTCACATTATGGGTGCCTGAAAAGTTTCAAGAGGATCCTACATTTTCGAACCAAACCTTGTTCAGCGTTGAGGCTAATTTTTGGCTCAATGGGTGTGTAAACCAGCAAAATTGCTACATTTGGGACAAAAAGCAACCTGCAGATAATCAAGAGCTGCCAAGTCATCCAGAAAAAACAACGGTTTCGTGTGGTTTGTATTTCGATGAAATTATCTTCTCGTGTTTTTTTTTTTCAAAAATGATGCCGGTGAGAACATGTCTGTCAATGGCGACCGTTATCGCACCATGATGCCTGAAATTGAAGCTCGTGAGCTCGATCATCACGCGTGTCATTCCAGTCGAAATGCTCGAACGAGTCATTGAAAATTCGGACTCAACGGATTTATCAGAGACGTAGCCGTGACCAAAATTTGAAAGTTATAATATTCAAAAAAAATAAATTGCAAAGAATATTCTCTGGAATGATAAAAATCAACCGCCAATAAATTTGAAGTTTCTGTGGGTTTTCCTAAAAAATGTATAGTAGAGAACTCCGAAATGGATCACCTGTTAGTTTCGGGGCAACCAAAGCTAACGTTTTTTTCTTTTTGTTTTAATATTAGGCTTACACAAACATAATTTTCTGAGTATATTTTCCTATACCTTTCTCCCTTATCTAATCAGTTCTCATTAGTTAGACATCAAAAACAAAATTGGCAATCGGCAAAAGTCGCATGATAAATACGCACTTAAAAATACTAATAAATGGACTGACCAACCATAATATACCAACCACAAGCACATATGCACTATATATGATATATACTTACATAAGTATAATATATGCTGTGACATGCCTCCAACGGTTGCGTTATCAGCACTCAAATACATTTGGAGACTCTAAAACTAACCCGGAAGACGAGGCACTTAAGAAATCTTCGATTAACAAATCAATAATACGTTGTATACATTGTATATACATATGTATGTATATTATATATATATATATATATTATATATAGTATATATTTAGGTACTAAGTAAAAATAAGAATCGTTAAATTTTTGTATGCTTATAATTTGTTTATTTGTATTTGTGTTTTTGTAAATGTATAAGGAAATTCTGTTCATGTATGTATGAATGTATGTGTGCATGTTTTGACTTAGGAAGAAAATATACGTACATATATATGATATTTATAACCATGTTTTCACTTAAAAAAGTATATATGTATGTATGCGCTACAAATTTGTTCCGCAATTATTACCGATATCTAAATTCGTAAGTACAATTCAAAAGAATAACGGCACAAAACGCGCCACAACACCACTTAGAGTTTCGTTTTAGACTCGAATTGAGCGCTACTTAACAAACAAAGAATATGTAAAACTTAAAACTGGACGATTATCACGATTCAACTGCGTTCTCACGCTCATAGGTTTCTTTCAGTTGCTGATATTCACGTATACGTGCCACGCCATATTCCTGTAAGAAATAGAAATAAGTATTTTTAATTTTGAAAAAAAAAAAAATAATAATAATTTTTAAAATTAAAATTTAATTTAGGAAAAAGTTTTTTATTTTTAAATAATGAAATTTAATTTTGGAAAAAAAAAAGATTTTTTTTGCTTAAGGAGTTGTACCAGTTGAGTTTTTTTATAGTTCTTGATATTATCGGGTCTTTTGGGTTCTAAAAATTATGATCCCGAAGATTTTCAGCCATTTTGTATTAAAATTTCAGTATAAAACAACAAAAAATGTTAACTTCGGCTGCAAGGAAGTTTTGGTGCCCTTTGCAAATGCATAAAGCGGTGTAATAAGATCGTTGTCTTGATTTTGACCGATCAGTTTGTATGGCAGCTATATGCTATAGTGGTCCGATCTCAACAATTTTTTCAAGGGTTATGGTATTGCCTTGGAAAATAATTCATACCAAATTTCGAGAAGATTGCTTATTAAATAAAAGAGTTTCCCCTACAAGGTGTTGATTTTGACCGATCAGTTTATATGGCAGCTATATGCTATGGTGGCCCGATCTCAACAATTTGTTCCGGGATTGTAGCATTGTCTTGTAAAATGATTCGAATCAAATTTCGAGAAGATACCTTGTTAATATAAAATAAATAAAAAACTTTTCGCTACAAGGACTTGATTTGGACCGATCAGTTTGTATGGCAGCTGTATGCTACAGTGGCACGATCTGAACCTTTTCTTCCGAAATTACATTATAGCTCTAGATAGTCATCTTTAGCAAACTTTGTGATGTTATCTTGTCAAACCAAAAAAGGTTTCTCCACAATGTCTTGATTTTAACCGATCAAATTTTTTTCTACGTTTTAAAAACTTCATGGCAAACTTAATGTAACCTGAACATTGTAAACATATTGTTTATTCTTATACACTCATATACAAGTTTAATAAACCCTGACCGAGAGCAATTCGATTGCTTTTTTCTCTATTCCCCGTATAAATTGTCAAACCTAAGCAATCCTCCAGACTGATCTAACCCTCTAAATGCATATTCACCACACTCACCCAGTAACCGAACTCAATGGTGGCCAGTGTCATCACCGCACTCCACACGCTCCAGAAGAGATGTGAGAACATGGAGAAGACACGCACCTCTGCATCCATGTCGCTGAGTTCCTGCGCTGTCGGCGTATAACCCGGCAAATCCTCATGCAACTTGCGCAAATATGAGCTATAGAAACGCTGACGTTGTTCCGTGCTGGGATAATGTTGCTTGCGGTGGTAATAAAATGGCGCCGCAGGGTTGCTATAATCGAAGGTCCATTCTATAAAATGATTGGCAAGATCGAAACCACGATAATTGTAAGCGCAATATTCGAAGTCAATAATTTGTAAATCTGGTTCATCATCATTACGAATTCGTGTATACTGGGTTTGTAGCTCGTCTTCAACGCTTATCACAGAGTCACTATAGATTGTTGCGTTGTTTACAAAATAATGAAAAAAATTATAATATTTATAAAAACAACTTGTTGGAGTAGAAAATAAATTGTAAAGTAAATATATATATAAATTATAGTAGTATGACGATATGTATTATTAGGGTGAGTAAAAAAAATATTATTAATTTTTAACTCTTAAAAATTTTTGCTCGACATTTTTTATTTTTTAGACAATTGAATTTCCCACAAATATTATACACATGATATTTTTTTTTATTAATATACTGAGAATTATTTTTTTCCCCAATAATAGATTGTAAACAGGAAAGCGTAGCAACTTCCACTTAATATTAAGAGCTAATATCTGAAGAGAAATTTTCAAAAGAAATTTTTCTGTGACAAGTGAAGTGAAAAAAAAATTCGACCACCCTAATGTATGTATATCTCGTACTAACCTCGCTCCATTTGTCTTATCGCTGTTGTTGGAATTGGAGTAAAGTATATTGCCCTCTTGCATATCATTGTGGCAGAATACAACTTTGTAGTTGCCCTCGTTGATGACAGATTGCAACCAAGCTTTTTCTTTGCGGAAATCGAAGCTGCGCACCACATCCACCAATGGTGTTTGATCGCCCCTTTAAAATTAAAATAAGAAAATTATGATTAATATGTAAAGAAAACAAGAAAGTACATTAAGTTCGGTTGCGCTGCAGCTGTTATACCCTACACAGGTGAATTTCTTAAAGCACATCTTTAACATCTTTATACTCATTTCGAGGGGTCAGTTTGTATGGCAGATTTGAACAATATGTTCGTAGATTATAGCGTTCTTATGGAAAGCAATGCATGTCAAATTTCGTCTAGATATATTGTCAAATAAAAATGATAACTCAAAATCTACAGGAGATCAGTTACTAAACGAGAGTTGCCACCTATCTTTTATACAATAAGTTTTTCAACAAGCTTGTTTTCGTACCCCGTGGTGTTGAATAAACTAGTTATTTCGATTTATGAAGGAATTTCTAAACGAGAGTTGCCACCTAAATATCTTTAATACAAACATTTTTCAACCAGCTTGTTTTCGTACCTCAAAGTGATAATAAAACAACAGGAGATTCGTCTATTTGGCTTATGAAGGAATTTCTAAACGAGAGTTACCACCTATCTTTTATATAAAATTTTTAATAAATTTGTTTTCGTACCTCGTAGTGTTGATAAAGCTACAAGGGATCACTTAATTAGGGTTTTGGAGGGATTTCCTAAATGAGGGTTGCCGCCTATCTGTTATACAAAAAGGATGTTCAAAAATTTCTTAAACTTGATGGACTTGATGAAAAATCAATACAAAAAACTCAAATCAAATGATTGGCCGGAAAAGAATCCGGGTCCGTTCCGGTTACGTAGACCTGACTGTCGTGGGTGTAAGAGTGTAAAAACTCGAAGCTTCAAAATATTTAAGAGGAATTACGTATTTTTGAACTAACAACTCGCGCTCGTTAGAATTAAACTACTTTTTCTATATATTAAATGTATAATGTTCTATGTTACTTACCAATCTGTTCGTGACAAAATGCCATTTAATGTTTTGAGCCAACGGTCCATGCAATTCCAGAGCCATTCTGGCTCTTTGGACATTGGTATATCCAATGTGTGTATTTCGGCCATTTTCTCGGCAATTTTCTGTGAAATTTTCGGCACCGCTAACTCACGTGTAAGTAAAGCGCGAGCCTGTAGATGACAAGGATATTATAAAAAATACAGTTTTACATTGCAATAGTTTTAATACGAAGTAGATTCTAGTTTTCAAAACAACTTACATTTAAGTATTGCTCGAGACGGCCGCCAGGGAATATGCCATATAGTTTTGGACCGAAATTTCTTTCGCTCAGCAATGCGAAGACAACGGATTCGGTGATGATGCCACCCAAGGCATCATCCTCCTCGCCATGTACTTCACCATAAATGCGAAGTAAAACCTAAAACGAAATTAAAATTATTTCGAAAAATTTAGTATTTTTGAAAGCTTTGGTCGGTAGTTGTCGAAAATTGCTGTATAGCGTGTTGTTTCTTGAGATACTTTACTACAGTTGAAACTGAGCAGCTCCACACGGTGGTCGCTAAAGCGCCAGCTATCTTGCTTAGAAAACATTGGTTATAAGAGATCAAGTAAAATCACTTACCTCATTCGGCTCACTATTCGACTTTCGTCGAATCACTAAAGGTTCCTCATTATTGTTGTCATTGGTTATGTAGTCGCTACTATCACCGTTCAATCGAAGATAATCCTCACTACCTTGTGGTGCTGTGGAATTTTGTGTGATAAACTGTGAGTTACTGTCGGTCGTTGGTAAACTTACATAATACAGAAAGTTCGACAAGCCGCCACTGTGAAGAAGGGGATTTTTTTTTAAATATATAGCTTTCAGTTCGATAAATAAATAAATATATATGCATATGTATATCTCTATAGGTATTTGTATGTACTTAATTACAATAATTTGCGCTTTAGTTCGGAAAACTCACTTAATCTTTTTGACAATAATATCAGCCGGGCTGATCGTTTTCCAGCGGCCAGTCAAGTAGTCGCGACACAAACGCGAAGCAAGCTCGCGAATTTCCTCTAGAGAAGCCTGTAATTAGTTAAATAAATATATACGTACTTATTAATTATCTAATAACTCAAAAAGGTTTAGTAAAATTATGGCGATTTCGTGAGATTATAGTATTTGTTTAGAGATAAGCAAAATTCCATGCTAGGTGGTGAAATTATTATTAGATATAAGCGAACTCGTTTGTGAATTTATATAACGGATGTTTGGGAAACGGCTATTGAAGGAGTTAATATTAAGTTAGTACAAGTATTAAGGGGGATTCCTATATGGGCTGTCAGAAACAGGGATTGTGATTTTAAGATTTAATTTTGTCCTATTAAGCAAGTATATCAAAAATATCTAAAAGGTTGTAGTTGAAATTATTATTTGACTTTTGTAAAATTCTCAGATCTCGTAGGATGTCATTCGAGGTTTTAATGAACTCCTTAGAGGTCTTAAAAGTTATTCGAATATGAGGTGTTGAAAATTGTTGCCTCTTTTTGATTTTTGAAGCCATATCTGCGATCTTTTCCAAGTCTATACTATACACTAAAACTTTCACTACAGGCATGTTACTTCAACACCTCTTTTACTCTTAATTTTTTCTTGGATATGTATCTTAAATTTCCCTGGCGATATAAGGGGGGTTGTAGGACTATATAATAACTTCTTATGGTTCCATGATGATTTTTGTAGCTTACTGGAAATAAAGTATAACTTTTAACGTTTTTTTATCCGCCCTGGGTGAGATTGTAACAACCCACTAATAACTTTGCCTGGTGCCGGCAAATTATTAGCAATATCTTTGTTTGTTTACTATTTCCTTCCACCGGAGCAGCTCCTTTATTGTATGGATATGAAGCGTTCCGAATCTAATATAATGGATATAGTTCTAGAGCGAGCAAACTTGTCAGCCAGCTCGTTCCCGACTATTATCTAAAAAAGTGGAGGCTTTCAGATCTGCAGGTTGGAGTTAGCTTAGATAGAACTTCGTCTGTTGGTTTACAAAAGTATTACACTCTTGAGAAATAAAAAATCAAGTAAGGAATGGTAAAGTTCGATTGGAGTCAAATTCTTGTCTTGAGTACAAAGGCGGAGAAATATTTTCAGTTGCTCAAGTTAAAAAACAAGCCGTGCACATGCATTCAACATTAGTAATTCAGTAAAATTGTGAGTGAAATACAATCCAACAGAGTGCGAAAAGCTTTATAAAGGGTATATGGGGGTTAGGCCAATATATGGACTGGTTTTTATTAATTTTTAGTGCTAGACTACATTATTATATTATATTAAGAATAAGTGGGCATCTTAAGTAATGTTAAGATATCTTACAGTTTCACCAATATTTCCGTTATGAAGCCAGGTAATGCTTCGGAGCTTCTCACATTCGATATCTAGACGCTTGAGTATAATAAACAAAAACACATGCAGATATTGAAACTTTCGAAATTAATTTCAATTATTATTTTCTATATAATATCTACTAATCTACATAATTTTTTATGTATTATATAAACCAGTTATCGTGGTTCTGAGAGTACAAAAATATTTTAGAAAAATGTGTTTTTACAGTTTTTTTTTTCTCATCTTCTTTCAAACGATGATAAACTAAAAAAAAAAATATTATTTAACACAAAGCAACAAATTTGGAACGGAAAACTCAAAAATTACAGATTAGAACAGTTAATGTTATTGTCTAAGACGCTACCAGTCCACAGTGGAATCGCAGGAAATTGTAAAGCTGATGAGCCAGCAAGGAAAGGCACCCTAGAATCGCTGTCTGTAGAATGGTTGCGGGTCGGTGCTCTAGTATCCTCTTGTGATCACCATCGGTACATTCGTTGTCGCAAAAGTCTTTTGGCCCAAGATCGATCGCAGGAGATCTAGTGATTTCTTTGCCCTCAGTAAGGCTAGCTTTTCCCTGTTTGTGGAGCTTTTAACAGGCCATTGCCTTATTGGCAGCCATACTGTAAGGCTGAGAATTTTATCAGCAGACGCCTTCTGTAGAAGCTGTATGGAAGAAGATGGGGTGGAAACAACTCAACACTTCCTCCATGACGGTCCCGCGTTTGAGAGGGTAAGACTTAAAAAATTGGGAGTTCATACCTTTAGACACCCTTCGAACTATTGGTAATGGAAATTAATCGCCTGTCAAATTTGTGTTGGCTACTAAGCGTTTCGAACATAGAAGTTCTTCATTTCTATGGCGTCACAAAGGACTACATATAGCAGTCCACGTGTGATCTCTCTAAATCAGTATCTAATTTGTTATCTTAGACTATTATGCAATATCCGAAGGAATTGTTTCGATCGGATAACTATAGCATATAGCTATCATCAAAACTGTACCATCGGAATCAAGAGCGTGCATGTTTTTTTTTTTAGAACTTTCTTCACGAAATTTGAAATGGTTTACTGTCTAAGGCAATAGTGTAATCTCTGATGATCATATAGCTGAACGATTAAAATCAATTTCTTGTAAGGAAACTTTGGCACTCTTGCAGGGCATTACAGCTTCGGTAGAACAGTTTTTTCTTATTTGACAATAATTCCTATAACCAACTCTAAAAGTAATACGATTACTATCTCATTATAATATTTGTATATACTCGCATATTTACTGATGACACCTATTATTTGCACGCATATGGTAAATGCCATAATTAAGTGATTTGAATAGCAATCAGCTTTATTGTTATTGATAATTGATAAGAGCTCCGATTTTAAGGCTTATATTCATACTGAATATTAACCGCAACCAAAGTAAATGAGAGATAAAAATTCTAATTAAGTAATAATTAGTAAATAAATAGAAACTTTGAATTGATTATACTAATCACTGTGTCATCGTTTCAAAGTTTCTATTTACTTTCAAAAAATTTGCCACTGTTGAGCTAAGAGACCATCATTATCAATTCTAAGTAAACGCATACTATGTGAATGAATCAATTGAAAATTGTATCCGTAATTTTGTTAGTCAGCACGAAAGCACTTTAAACGAAGTAAAACCTGTTTAGTAAACGAGGAAATCTTACCAAATTACCGCACAATTAATTGTATACTAAATGATCAAATTTGACCCGGATCCAATTTAACTACGCACGTAAACAATATCAAAAAAAAAAAAAAAAAAATATTCTGAAACCGTACAACCTTTTTTGTTATTTTGGTGTGTATTTTGATCTGCGTATGTCAATTAGTATGTGTTTGACAGCTGTTTGTTTACGATGCGGAAAATGTCCATGTCGATTTTTCCCAATGGAAAAAAAAAGCGGAACAACCAGTTTGCTTGAAATTTTTTATACTAAACACTATTGATATATATCAATGATTATTTTGATGGCACGTTTTTGGAACTGCGGAGTTTGCATTATCTTGGTGAAACTGGAAAAACTTTCTTTTTCTTCAAATGCGTCCGTCTTTCAAACGGTCCAATAACGCTATGTAACACTCGCTGTTGTTGGTCCTTTCTTCTTCAAGGTAGTGAATAAAAATTATTCCATGCGCATCCAAAAAATACAGACGCCATAACCTTCCCAGCTGCCTGTTTCGCTTTTCCCCGCTTTGGATTGGGTTCATCGTGCATATCGTTCCCGACTATCATCCAAGAAAGTTGTATATTTCAAATCTGCAGGTTGGAATTAGCTTATTGTAGATAGAGCTTCGTCTGTTGGTTTATACAAAGTAATTATCATTAAAAACTCGTCGTAACTTTTACTTTTCGAAAATATTCTAATCTTGTTCAGCAGTTGAAGTTTTTAGAGCCGAATGTTGGAGTTCGTTTCGATAGAGCTTTGTCTGTTAGTTTATACTATATATATGTATATACAATAATATATATGACTGTAAATTGGATTTCGGAGTGAAATGAAGGAGTCATATTTCATCCATTGTCACATACTCGTATCGAAAAAAAAAATTGTGTTTATTACACTTGAATACATACAGTGCTCCGAATCATCAACTCGTCGTTATTTTTGGTCAAAAGTTGTTTCACGCGGTACCCACTTTGTCCCAAATATTCTTGAATGATTTGATCTACACATTCAGTTTAAACATCTTCACTTTACGGTCGTCCAAAATTATTTTGTGGATTTTTTTGATATTTTCTTCGTTTTAGGCTTCCCTCTGCGTTCACCGTTTCGGTACCCATTTCACCAAGTCTAAATCGTTGATGGTTAATTTTTCCAGGGGCAGTGTCCGGCAACTCGTCATCAAGCCAAGTTTTTGCTTCAACTGTATTTGCTCCCACAAAAACCGATATTTTATTAACACGGAGAATTACTTTTTATAAATTTTTTTTTCACAATAACTAAAGCTGCTTCACTCAAAATGATATAATTCACAAATCAATGATCCATAAGCTACCAAATTTATACATGCGCGTTTTGATGGTTAGGGCTAACTAAAAAATCATGTGGAATTAATTCTAGTACTAGTCTAGTAAATATGTGCATTTATAGATAGCATTTCTTTGAAATTACTTAAGTCTCTCATGCGTTTATTAAAGTTAGTGAAATAATTCCTTGATCTCTTATGGAACAAGTATATTGACCGACCAAGGCGACTATTAATTACTGAGTTCCCACGACAGTTGTGTCTACCCGTACTTTTATCCGGCCAAGGATTGTCTATTCGAAGACAATGTTTTATATAGGAAAGGAATTGCAACAATCGATTGAGGGTTTTTTGACCAAAATATGAACTTTATCAGAAACTAGCGGTATTTCAGAGAGGACATAATATAGTGAGGTGAGGTGAGGTAACCTCGGTGCTTTCACAATGGGCCTCTTAAAAGTGTGTATGCAACGTAAGACATCCACCATCCACAATTGTGTGGGATATGAACTTCAAATAACATCAAAAAAGTTAAGTAAAGAGCAGTTGAAAATCGTCGGTTTAGCATTAGAGAGAGAGCAGCGGATCTCAACATCTTAAAATCGTCATGTTTTCATTAGAGAGAGCGAGAGAGAGAGAGAGAGAGTAGCGGATCTCAACATTTGTTATGAAATTACTAAAAAAAATTTTGGTTAAGGTTTCGGACGTGAGTCATTTCAATGCGAGACTCGTACCAAAAGATCTGAATATTTTGCCAAAACGACGTCGAGTAGAGGTCGCAGAACAGATACTTGACAAACGTCTTTTTATGAATAGATGTTAAATATATCAAAATCTGTGATTCATGACATTGTGACGGAGCACTTGAACATGCGCAAGGTGTGGGCGAAGATGGTCCTTAAAGTGCTCACTGACTGAGGACTTTCTTGTGAACAGCTACATTACCAAGATCGGCATCCCAACACTTCCGCAGCCGCGCTATAACGCAGATGTGGACCTGACGAATTTGTTTCTTGCTTGCCCGAAAAGGCCGATAAAAGGTAAGCATTTTGAGACGATCAAGGGGATCCAAGCAGCATGCACTTAGGCTCTCAAGGTTATTCCGGAGAATGCTTTCCGTGACGCCCTTCAATGCTTGGAAGTCGTGTTGACAGCGCTGCATCGACGCAGAAGGAGCCTAAGTTTTTAAAAAATTTTAACGATTGGTTCAATAAGTTTTTTTTAAATCGACTCAGTCCTATTACTTTGCCGACAAACCCTGTACAAATTTCTTAGGAGCTCCTGACTTTTAATATTACATTTCATGCAAGTGCACACGCCCATAAAACAAAATATTCTTAAGCAAACTAATATTGTATCTACTACGCATTTTTGCCTACTTTGTAGTTAGTACGTATCTGCCGTTATCAGTTTAACAAACTTGGCAGATAGGCTACGCGCCAGAGCATTTCAAGAGGGAAGCAGTCTACTCGTTGAGTGCAAAATAGTTGATAAAAACGTAGAAAATATATTCGCTTGGGTCTAAATCTATACATATGTATATCTACTTACTGACATATAAATATTTTGATGTAATATAAATATGCATGACATGAATAGAAAACCTGTTCTCGAATATTTGTGTACAAGTTATTAGCCCGGGGTGTCACGTGGCTTGTAACGACACTCGCTAATGTAAATAAATATGTGACTATCAATAGCTTAACCAGAATATAGACTTGCTGTTTAATTATTCTTATATGTGCCAATATATTATATTTCTCCTTGGAAATATAATTCGAATATATGAGAACAACTTGACATATCTTTTTGAAAATGAACATACTTTAAGGGGTTCCAAGCACTTGCAAGCCAGAAAAAACGCGTTTTTCTGTGAATTTTTTTAAGACGTATTTTGGTAAAAAGTAAAAAAAAACAAAAATAATGCACATTTACAGACTTTAATGTATTTTAATAATCGGGTATTGATTTTGAAAATTCTCGGATTCTCTTTATCCTGTAACCGATCTCTAAAAAAGGATCTCTGAAAAAAGCTGTCAGGCAGTGAGGATGAATTTTGTGTTTTGTGAATGTGTATGTTAACATGCAAAATTGCCGTATTTGGGACGAAGAACAACCTGAAGAGGTTCAAGCGCTGCATTTCATCCTGAAAAATAACCATTTCGTGTGGTTTGTGGGCCGGTGGAATTATCGGTCTATATTTTTTCAAAAATGATACCGGTGAGAGCGTAACCTTCAATGGCGCTTATTATCGCGCCATGACAACCGACTATTTAATGCCTGAAATTGAAGCATTTGGTTTCAACAAAACGGCGCCACTTTCCACATGTCGCATCAATCCATGGAATTATTGAAAAAAACACATTTTACGTTTTGGGCCAGTCGATTGGCTACCAATAAGTGTAATATCACACCGTTAGAATTTTTCCTATGGAGATACGTAAAGTCTAAAGTCTATGCGGACAATCCCGCTTCAAAACATTACGCGTGTCATTCGCCAGTTGCCAGTTGAAATGTTCGAACGAGTCAAAGAACTCGATAAATTATATAATTTAGATACCGTGATCATTTCATTAAGAGATTCCTCGCCTCTCTTGTAATCACATACCATCAGAGACAGTATTTTACCAAATTTATGATTTATGTTGAAATTCTGGTAAACTCATGTTTTGTTCACGAGTGTGAAAGGTAAAACAGCTGGATTAAACATGAGCTAAACCTTCAGGGTGGTCACATATGCAGCATTATAGTGTATCTTAAAGCTTTGGGGAGTAGTGAATTGCCACAATGAGATGCTTCCATTAATATCGAACTTGTCTTGGGCTCTGTAATGAAAGTCAACTTTTTTGGACTTAAGACATTGTGATGTCCGAATTTCTTTCCCAGGTTAGAACGGATCGGTTAAAAATGTTCCGGGGAAGTGTAACTGGATCTCGTCTTAGACATGCTCAAGCTAAACATATTTTCTTTTGAGAATTCTGGTCCACTTGTGTATTTGGTTTCTGTTAGAGACTAATGTGGATCAAAATATGCGGCAAATACTGCGAAAGTAAAAACTTGCTGGTGCTGGATATCAGAGGCTATGAACTACATGTTTTAAAGCAATATAGAAGTGCGGACTTAATACTGGAATCGACTATGTTTATTAAGTCGAAAAGTGATCTCTCATTTATATTTAAAAGAAATACCCTATAAAAATGCTTATAAGCTCTTTGCGATCGCTCAGTATTATTCCAACATTTTCATCGGCGATTAAACCACTTAAAAATTTACACCGCAGGAGGCCAATTACTAAGTTTAGTTACATACCAGCTGCTCAAGGTGTACGCAAATATATCATGTGTACTATTTCAAGAGCCTTTGATAAGATCACGAGAACTTAAACAAGTCATAAAAAAATTAAAAACCAATAATAAAAGTTAATGAAATAACTTTAGTTTTGGTTATAATAAAATATATTTCGTTATAGATAAAGAATTTCAACACAAGAACCTGTTAATGAACTCGATATAACTGGCATACGCAATTCGCCTTTGATAAGAGTACAAGTTGAGTGTCAACTTCTTACATATGTATTTATGGGTGTACTTAGCGGAGTAATTAGAAACCATGAAGGAAATATAAACTTCGGTAGCACCGCAGCTATAATACCCCTTTACACACGCAGAAGATTCCTTATAGGAATTTCTCTTCGATCAGTCAGTTTGTATAGCTGGAGTGATTCTATCGGAACAATTTCTTCGGAAATTGCACCGTCGCCTTGGAAAATAATTCATACCGACTTCGTGAAGGTTTCACGTCAAATCAAAAACGTTTTTCTTACTTCATTTCGATAGTTTAGCTATATGCTATAGTGGTTCCGACAAATGATGATGAATGTCCAAGTCGTACTAAAAGAAGTTAGATGGATCTTTGGAAAGAACATTACGTGAACAAAATACAGACAGAAGGGCATGGCTGAATCGACTCAGCTCGTCATACTATGATCTACGACGTTTCCTTCAGGATTTTCAAACATCGTGGGACACTAAATATACCCTTTTCAGGCTATTAAAATTCTTGAATGCTGTTGGAAACTAAACTTTTTAGGAAATGAGGAAACACGCGCACTTGTTCTAAATAATCAATTGTGATAATCTCATTGAACCTCTTAATACATATAAAAAGTAATACGTCAAAGGCGCCTCTATGCACGCACTTTTGAACTAACGGGTGCGAAAATTTAAGTATATAAATCATAATTAACTGCTGAACACTAGATTAGATTAAAACTCATAAAATGCTTATCGCAAAGTTAGGTTAGGCCACAGTGACAACAAAAAATTTAGAAAAAGTAAATAGCCCCGGAATTTTTAGACAAATCATTCAAGAGACTTGCGCTTACTTGTATTCACATGGAGGTACTCTATATCCATATATTAATAAATTTTTATTTATTAGCATAATTATATCCTGAACATGGTACACCCGATGGATATGTGGATGGGACGGAATCGTTGGAGAAGTGACGCAGTGAGTTTTTTCACGGAGATCGAAGTTCACGATCAAGGTTGGAGGAGGAGTCTTCTGTCGTGAGCTCTCAATCACCTCTCGTTTCCGACTACCAGACCATTGTCTTTCTAACAGAAGTACTTCAAAGAAGTACGGCTTTTTTTAGTAAGCGCTGCTCAACTTATGGGGGAGGCAAAAGCCAGTAGGGCCAGAGTGGAACACGAAAAGTCTCTGTAACTACTAACTCATAGCAAGTTTCAGTATCCCATTGTCACTCACAAGGCTTTCCTCAGACTAAGGTTGAAACATCTTGGTTGCCATACTTTCAACGAACCCGGTAAATTGGCTGGAGCAGATATTAGCCAGCTCAATAAATTTGTTGCTGGCTTTATGCGCTTTGTAGATATGATGGTCGTTTTAATACGTAGTTAGAAGTTCTGGGCATTACAATGGACAAGCGTTTCTGGCAGTCGTAGTTGTATTATTTGTTGTCTTACGTGGTATATTTTCCAAGGCGAGCCGAGCAAATTCTTCCGATTCGACCACTATAACATATACCGCTCATGAAAAAAGACATTTTTATATCATTTCATGATGATGAGAGACCCCCTTCGGATGATCCCTAAAGCTTCGGCTTAAAGATCACTGGCTCTAAACCAGTTTTAAGCAAAGTTGTTATTTTTTTTTTAAATTACATTTTTTTTATTATTTAAAAGTTTTTATAATTTTTTTTATTATTTTTTGTTTAACTTATTTGTTTTTTTTGAGGTTTTTTCTAACCATACATAATTTTTTTATTTTTAAATAATATATTTTATTACATTTTCTCTTACTACGATTAAATAATTATTTTCTGACATAACTAAACACTGATCAGGGAATATAGAGTTTACCACGAATTTTGCAGCACTCAGTAGGAAATATCGGAGAAATATGACAAGCTGAGTCGATTTAGCCATGTTGGACTGTCTATATATATTATAAGCGAACTCAGTCCTCCGTTTTTTGAGTTAATGTTTTGAAATTTTGCATATGTCATTTTGGCCGCAAGAAGCTGCTTATTTGCCTGAACCATCGATATCGGACCACTATAGCATTTGGCTGCCATACAAACTGATCAATTAAAAAACAGTCCTTGTATGAAAATTCTTTTATTTGACGATATATCTTCATAAAATTTAGCACGGATTAGTGTTTAAGGCAATGGCACAATATTTGAAGAAATTGTTCAAATCGAACTACTACAGCATATATGTAGCTAGCATACAAACTGATCCATTCAAATCAAGATACAGATATTTTTAAACGCTTTTATGCTACAGGAAACACACTTGCGACAATTATGCTTTATAGCTTCAGTGCCGCAGAAGTTAAGGGTTTTTTGTTTTTGTTTTTACCATATACATACATACATATGTATGTGCCATATATGCATAAGTACAGATGCTTTTACAAAGAAGTTTTTTGGAATCAAAATGAGCACATTCACAAATATCTGTCCGGAGTCATATGATAATGTGGTACACATGCAGCAACAATCACGTGGGTATTTATTGTTACTGGCAAATAATGCTGTTTTTAAATAATTTTATAAAAAATACATTATTACGTAACTAAGAACTTCAATAGCTGAAATATGTTGAATTTGGAGTTACACTGGAACTTTCTAAGAAACACCTTTTTATATTACAAAATATTCTATTTAACTAAGATATCAGAGTACAAAAACAATGGAATTATTATATTTTCTGCATATTTTTTATATTATTTTATNTTTTTAAATTAATTATTTATTTGTTAAAAAGTGTTATTTAATTACAGTAATTCTGAAAAAATTTCAAAAAAATATATGAATAACATAAATAATATAGTTTTACTTATTAAAAAAGTCATCGTTTACATACAGCAACAAAAATTTACATAAAACATATTATACATTTGTATTATCGTTATTAACTTAATAATAGCGGTATTATTTACAATTTTAATAATTCACCATTTTATACATATGTTATGCAAATCGCTAATGTTCTATGCAAAATTTTTCTGATTATCTGCACGTAAACAAACAACAATTGTTTTTGCTTTTCACACATGCGACGTCACTTATTAAATTCGATGTCGAAACGTCAAAAACAAAGTTAAAAAAAAAATAAACAAATCACGCACCTGCCACCTAACAACTAAGTAAACTTTATCAAGCAACAGCTAGAAAATTGGGCGCACCACCTTTCCCCGTTGTATCCGATGAGGTGATTCTACGATAATCTTTTTTTACACTTTATTTTTTCTTATGATTATATGTATGTATATGGATGTGTGGTATTTTTCATGTTTTTTTTATTGTTTTTTTCATGTTTATTCATATTTTTTTGTTTCTATGCTTATTTTTTTATGGCAAATTCACTTACCGTTTGTAGGTTCGACATTGAAAATCGGCACTGCTATTTCACCGGTGTTATACAGTGTTACGTTTGACACTTGGTAACTGCGCTGAATTAAAAAACAAACGGACACACACACACACAAAACGGAAAATCACCCTTACAACACACAATGTAATTTAAGTATATTTTCTTCGTTTTAAAATTTATTTGTGCACGTTATTTTGCTAGTGAATTCACTTCGTGATTGGGAATACAACAGCTGTACCCGTGTGTATGTATGTATATATGTGGCTATAATTTTAATAATTCACAAGAAAAAGGCTGCAATTATAGCTGCGATAATAAGTTGTTGTTGTTAATTTTAGTTTTTTGTTTGTTTCAATATATATTTATAGATGATATTTGTCTGTGCACCACATATGGAAGAAAAATAATACGCACACACGCACAAGAAACTGTAATGAGCAATTGTTTTAGTTTATATTATATGTATGCCTTCGCTAGTATGCATAAATTTTTATTTTATATGCTTTAAAATTTTCTGTTTTTGTTTTTCTTTTTTCCACTGTCTGTAAATTTGCCTTAAACATTCAGTTTTGTATTTTTTTGAAAACACGTCAATTCAAGTGTTGTTTTGCGCAGCTAAAAAATATAACGAATGCTCCTTGTTCACAGCTCGTGAGCAACTGGCGTATCGCGCATTTGGTTAGTGGCGAGCACGACATTTGTATAGAGTGGTTATTTTTTTGGCTTATCTTGGCTCCTGGCACAGTTCGCTGCTTATCGCCAGCATTCTCAATTCTTCCGGTTTTACTCATTTTATTGCTCACTGCGTTTTGAACGTTTACTAGAGGACATTGACTAAATTTTCGTTAATTACGATGCGTAATTCATCATGAATTGGTGTGGCTGCAAAGCACATACAATATAAGTATGTATATAATGCGGTTTACCTGTGTAAATACACAATTCCTTTGCATTTTGGCTCTTTCAATAATTGTCAGTTATTTGTTTTTTTTACTTGTGCTCTCAACTTTTCGCACGACGGCGCTGGTGTGTGTTCGCTAGACAGGTAGAGCAAGCAATTGTTAATAAATCGCGAATAGCGTATGCTCTTTGGTACTACCAACGGTATCTCTTAATATCTAAGATCACTTGACGCTCTTAGAAACTTCAGTGGCAATTATTGTATGCATATTTCATTAGAAGCAAAGAACAGAAATCAGGTCAATTGCAAAAAAACTTGCGATTCAGCTAACAAATATGTTTATATCTGCAAATACGTACTGTGTTTATATAATATGTTTATAAGCACAAGTTGCAAATGAAATGAATTTACTTGCGCTCTTACTCCGTCTTTCTAAACTATACAGCTGGCAAATGGTACTCTAGCAGTTATTGTGTAGTGTTGATTCTTGTTAAACCTTGGTTAATTGAATATTTGTTGGTCGGGTCAGAGTCCCCTAGGCTGTCGACCTAGGAACGAATGAGCACTGGTGTATGATGAATTTTTAACTAGCTCTTGCGTATACAATATTTATAAATTTTAATATAACATTGATTTTCTTCGACCAAGGTTGGAACCAACGTCACTTCAAATTGTAGTCAATTGATCCGTCTAAGTAGCTAAACTCACAGCATTCAACATATGTATATAGTATTTAGTATTTATGTGGTTCTGCATACGTATCTAGAGACCACTGATGGATTTTTAGCAGAAGCTCCACCTAAAATAAGCTATTGCTTTGGCTTAATATCGTCGCTGACCATGCATATATTCCATGCAAATAATAAGTAAATACCCTTTAACATTCGACATTTCTTCCAATTTTCTCACGATGAATGTTTCACTTTCTTCACACTTCTGCATTATATGTGGTCAAAATTCGTTTTAAATCTTTAAATAATAATTTTCGCTTTAACATACATAAAGCGTGAAAGATATTGGAGAAATTAGATTTAGTTCACCTACTGCTTCAGGGAACATTACATTCCTCCAACTTAATTTGATAGGTTAGGTTAGTTTGGCAGACTAGTTTTCGGTCCTTAGCGATACAAGATTGAGTGTTGTCATGTAGTCCATGAAGAAAAGATATCCTTTAGGATAACAGTGAATTTTCACAGATTCTGTGGCCTCACTAACGATACCTCTTCCAATGTCATAAGTCCCAAATCCTTTAAGCGTTGCTTAGCCAATGCAGGACAGGTGCACAAAAGGTGGAATAGAAACTTCTGGTTAGATCTTTCTATCGTAATTTCCTTCCTTGCCATATTCCTAGATTTTAGTTATAGTCTTCATGATCTGCCATGTAAATTAGTTAACCAAGACTTGCCAGTTGTAATTTGCGCAATAATTTCCTCGCTATTGGCTTAAATGTCAGTAATCGCAAATTCAAAACGAATGTAACCAGGAAATTCCGCACCCAACTTTAAATATTACCTTTTGCGTAGCAGAGATAAACTTCTTTGTACCAAATGTGTTCTTACTGTTTTTAATTGATGGCACTATAATTTCCCGCTTTGTGTCAAATTTTGAATTCTTCTTTGTTCGGTTGTTTCCGCTTTGTGTCGGAATTTTGTTAACGTGTTATCGATAAGTTAGTAAGTAATTAATCGCAAGTACATTTGTGGCAACGCCAAGCAGTATTGGAGAGCTGCCACAACTGATTTAAAGGCTCTATGTTGTCATAGTAATATCTAGTGACATTTTTATGAAATATCGATAGATGCCTAAAATTTGAATAGTAATGATTCTCTCAATTTTATTAGTAAATGATGCTTAAGTGAATATATAAAAGGTGAGGTCGGGGACGATTCCTCTCGAGCTCGACTTTTCTCTCGATATTTCAGTGGTGCAATAATATTTTGCAGAATTGTTTCTGCAAAAAATCATTAAGATCATTCGACGATCAGTTTTTTTGTTTCTACGGCCTGTGTGTATACACATAAAACCATATAATTCTGGTTGCTAAGTAAAAATGCAACTCTGCATTTGTTTAACTTATCCGATAACAATTTTTAAATAAATCGAAATTTCTGTTTTATTAAAAAGCAAGCATTAACCAAAAAACCGTAGCTACATTTGCAAAAGTTATAAATAACGACTAACAAACTGTCGTTATTACCTCTGATAACATATTTTAGTTATTTATGGTGTTAAAAAGACTGGCTATGCGCTTGTTGAATTTTAAAAAAATCTATCGATAACACGTCGATCCGGCAACACGCTTGGATACTAATCATTCTCCATTACCGAAAGAGAATTGAAGAATTGTGGTAGAAAATTTGTTATTTTTTGTGTGCTGCGCTGTTTTATAGAAAATTAATTGGAATTTGTACAAAATATCCATTTGAAAATTATACAAGTAGTTGTATAAAGATGTTGTGCATTGTGTAAAATATAAAAAGTGTAACTGGATGTATGATTTGGGCTGGAAATTTGCATTTTCAATGTTCGGTGTATTGAAGTCGAGAAGTTTTTGCCAATGAGAAATTTTTTCTAAGGAAGGCAACGAAAAAGACAACGATTGAGCGTGTGAGTGAGTAGATCAAAGACGAGCTCAGTGGCGTCGAACAAAGCAGCGCTATTTGACGCTGACCGAACGGAATATAAGCAGTAGCAAAAAATTTGTTTTAAAAATAATAACAAAAATATTGAGGAAGGTATCGGTAAACGCTGTGTGGGCGTTTGTTTGTAAGTGCAAAATTTAGTTGATCGGTTGTCGGGAAGCGTGGTGGTAGTGGAGAACATAAATTGCATGAAAGATGGCGTCGTCGATGATAGCTGCAGCAGCAGTTGCGGCGTCGACATCGGCGTCATCAGCTGCAACGGGCGAAATGAAAAGAGAAGAAGAAGAAGAAGATGGTTGCAATGAAGAGGGAGAAGAGGAAGTGTTTAATACCACACTACGTTCCTGTGCCAATGATCCAGATTTTGCGGTAATATGTGCATTCCTGCAAAAATTCGCCAAGGATTTGGGTATACCGTTACCCAATTTCAAGCATTTGCAAGAGTGGCTTACAAATACTGATGAAGGTAGGCGTTCTTATGCTAATTTTAATCAAATTTGATTTATATATCGTTACATTTTTTTTAGTCGCCGATCAATTGCGTGATCTACACATAAAACTTTTGCGTAAAACGCGCAAAACCGTGCACGAGAAAAGTTGGGAATCAGCGCTAAGTAAATTCTGTTTCTCATATTCCGCGCAGGATGCATGGGAGGTAGAACGTTTTGGCTATAAAAAGTCAAGTTTAAAAGTAAAACTAAGAATTTTCAGGGTAAGCAAACAACAATTATGAAATACTATAGTTTTAAATTTTATAAACTTTTTACAGGAATTGCTTGAAAGTCAATTTCAACGCAATGGCAAGTTTCGTGCTCAAATACTTACAATGAGTGCAGATTCCTTACGTTCGCAACCGATAGGACGTGATCGTCTTGGACACACTTATTATTTTACACAAGATTCTTATGGCAATTTGCGCGTTTATCAAGAACATCTAGACGAGGAAATTTGGCAAGTGGTCGCTACGACACGTGAAGAATTAGTTAATCTCATATCACGACTGCGTGGCAATGAAGTGGTGTTGCCCTCTACAGATATTGGAGTTGATGAAGACACCAGTAGTAGTAACAGTTGCACAGCTCAAGTGGAAAAACCACCGCCGCCAGAAGAACAAGACGACTCACAGGAGGAAGAAGCGCGTGTACCAAATTTGCGTATAAAATTATCAAATAACGGCAAATTGGCTGTAACGTCCCCAAATACCACAACTCAAACAATATCACAAGCAACAAAACGTAGTCTGGATGATACCGAGAAAAGTTCACCACGTAGTGAAGAATTAAATATCATAAAGAAAGCGCGCCCTTCACTTTTGGACGTGAATCGCGCTAAAAAGCCCAGTCGATATGAGAAGACCATATCCGAAGAAGAGGAAGAGGGCGAGGAAGGTGAAGAAGATGAAGAGGATGACGTTGATGAAGAGGAGCTATCCATTGAAGAAGAGGATATAGATAGCGCAGCTGCCGAAGAGGATGAAAATGAGGAGAAAGAAATAGAAGACTCAGATGGTGACTCTGATGAAGAGTTGAATGAAGTTGGTGAAGCCATTGAAGAACCCACCATTATAGTAAGCGGTGAGGGTGCTGGCGAGGATTGTGAAGGAGTGTATACAAATAAGCAATTTTCTCTAAACACAATACTTTTCGGCGACGACGACGAGGTTTGCGAGGTAACATATATAGATCCAATCGTGGGAGAAGTTGTTGAAGAAGCAACGTTTTACGTATACGGTGAAGGAACTGGTGCTGAGTGCTTAGTTGGTAATGGCAAAAATGATGTTGAGACTGCAACGGCAACAACAACAACAACCACACCGACGACACCCACAAAAACAAACGAACCGAAGGCAACATTTTTCTTTGGTGAACCTGGTTGCCTTAAACTCAGTCCGATGAAACAACAACAAGCTAAAGATAAAGGAAATAATGTGGATGGTGATGGTGGTGGAAATTCACAGGTTGTTGATAAAGTAAGTGAAATATTTAAAAATGCGGCGAGTGAGAAAGATGAAGAGTGTGTTGAAGCTGAAAAAGACGCCGAAAAAGTTGTAAAAGAAACACGTGAACTTGTTCTTGCAAAAGAAAAAAGCGAAGAAGTAAATAATATAGATTTAAAGAAAGAAGGGGATAT